TAATTTAACTAGATTATAGCCCGCGTTAAACGCGGGAAACGCATAAAAAAATATATAATCGTTTATAGATATTGTATAATGATTATAAAAAAATATATGGTTATTGGTATTATTGAAATATGTAGAAAATACATTGAAAACGATAAATATATATAATCATTGAAAGATTCTTTGTAGACATCATTTTTTGTTTTATTAGTTGAACGATTTTCCTCGTTTATATAGTTATGATATTTATATATTTATAAGCATTTTAATTAGACGTTCATTGCATAATAATGTTACCTAATTTAAACATATATTGACAATCAATATACCGTTTTTTCTATTGCATTAAATATTAACAACTATTTCATTTATTCAAATAAAGTTATGTAATATAATTTATAAAATGTTAAATGTTATATAGATTTAATTTTAGTATATCATCAATGGAGATTCTTTTCTAAATCATGATTGGTTTATTTTAAATTGATTATAAATATAAATGCTAGCTTTTATGTTTATTCTTATTTATTTAGTGTTCGCAAAAATTTTGTATTAGTTTTGGCGTAACTTTGAATAATTTTAGTATATCATCAATTTAATTTGATATATCTGTCAATTATATGAAATATCAAATAATGAAATTTCATTACTATTGTGATAATTTAGTTTATATATTGTATTTTCATTAATCTTAACGGTCTTATTTTTTCTAATAAACGTAACGTTTTTACTAAATGTACTTTTTACAAATCTCCTAATATCTTATAATTTTAATCTTACTTTATAATTTTTCATAACTATGTTATTTTCAAGATTGACTGCTTTAATAGTGTTTTTTTTTTTTTTTTTTTTTTTTTTTCAGTCTATTCAATTTTATATTTCATTGTACAACATTATCGTTTGTATGTATTTTGAATTTTCATTTTAAAAATGTTTAATGTTTACACCTTGATATTAATTTTTTTAATAAACTCATGTAATAATTATGGAATATATATATCTCATTTTAATTAACATTCACTTCGTTTATTATATCAAATTCCTCATTAAACGGGTATATTTTTGGAAAATAATAATTATAATATGACAACATTATCTAAAACGTAAATATTTGATATACTTTTGGAGAAAAAAAAATCAGGATCATTAAAAAAAATTTATATAAAGAAAATACAAATTTAAATTTGTTAAAATTATGGATGAAATTACTGACAAAAATTTATTTTGGAAGGAGTCGTATTTTGTAAGGTATAATAATATTACAAAATTTGAAATATTTATATTTGTTGTGTAAATTAATAAATTTTATTGTTACTATACGAAGATAAAAAAGTAGGTTGATATGATATATAAAAACATAATAATTTCAATGATATTTTAAAATCATGCCAAAATTAACCGGATTCTTATGACATAAAAATTTTAAAAAAATCATCATCATCTCTAATATATAAAAATAATATTTTCGTAATTAATGTCAGTTCCCAGGATAGTTAATTTTTGTTTTGTTAAAGGTACCTACTACCTTTTCATGTTTATTTGAAAAGTTTCAGAAAAGTAGTTAACTTATTTCATGTAATTTGTGACAAAGAAAATCGAAATATATAAATACATACATTTGATATAGGAGCAAAAAATGATCGAAAAAAATATAAAAAAATGAAAGAAGGTACTGACCTTCTAACGCACAAGAGTGAATGTTGATAGTAGAGAATGATGATGGAAGTTATAACCAATATTAACGATGTTGTAGGAGAATGTTTGAAGAAAAGAAACGATTGAAAATAAATGTGAGTCGCGGATTCAATGGTGAATCGTATATGTATGTGATAATTTGAATATGATTTTTCGGTATTAATGATTTCCTAATAAAAAAAGATTTTATATTACTGGTTTACTAATATAAACGGATTTATATTAATGGTTGATGTTAAGGTCTTGATTGAAATGATTTGTTAGTAATATATTTTTAAAATTGATCATATTAAAATCTTCATAACTGAAAATTCAAGATGTAAAATACGGAAAACTTTTATTGGAATTAAATAAATTCCATTTCAACGAATGTAAGTTATTGATTGATGATTGGAAAATATTTATTGGAATTAAATACATTCCATATAGGGAAGATGATGTCAGCAATTTAATCTAAGGGTGGAAAAAATAAGATTGAAATACAATCAATGGTCCAGATTATTTAAGATGATGTCATAAAGTTTCTCTTTTAGTAATATTTAAGATGTTCAAATCATTGCATATTTATTGATTCCTATTAACTATAGCTATTGGATAAGTGGCGTTATGAACATGAAGACTTTGGACTTTAACTACCTATGACAACTTGAGTTTAGAAGCTTGTGGTGACGTTCTTGGAAAAATTAGTTCCTTCCAAGGCTATTTTAATTGACTTATTAAAGTTGATTGATTATTTGCTAAAGATTGGATGGATTTGAATATTAAATGTTAAATGTTAATAAGCTATCAATATATTGATGGAACTCGTGGAGAAGTTTGAATTTTCCATATTGGCATTGAATATCTATTTTCCACAATGTTTTATTTATTTTTTATTTTTAACATCATAAAATCTTTTTTTAATCTCTATTATAAGTGTCTATACATGCAATTATTTATATATCTTTTTGAGTACATTTCTTCGATTTCTTCACAATTATGCATAATTGCAAAAATGCAATCATGCATCTTAGGTGGACATAGTCAACCACAATACAAGATTTTTTTTTTAAACGCCAACTAACATACTTCTAATTACCACATATCTCTCCTAGTGAGACTTGAACTCATGATCTCTTATTTGAAAAAGACACTCATTATCGTTATGCCAAAAACCATTTGATACCACAATACAAGTTTGGATGATTATGCAGATAAAGAATGGAACAATTTATTTGTCTTCACAATGATAATCACCTTTGATGGTATTAAGGGAACTTACAAATACTTTCCCTTTTTAGGACATTCAATATGGCATAGGAGACAATTTTCTAAACAATAACACTCTGAAATAAATTCTTAAATAGAAAGAGATATAAGAGCGACCAACTGTTTGTGAAACATATACATTAACTTATCAACTTATAACTCACGAGTATAAATTCACTTCACAAGCATCCTTCGCAAGAACACAATTAGGGTAGTTGCTAAAAAATAGTTATGCAAACCATGAATTACTTGTGTGTATATTCATGATGGAAATTCAAAGATTTGGTGGTCATTTGCATTTTTTTCTTTCTAAAAAAGGTGGGTCATTGGATGGTAAAGTGGATCCTTACGTGGTCATTTCAGTGAATAATGTTTTCTTTAAATGCTCCTTGAAATAATTTGTGGGTTATAAGGTTTTTGGTATAAAACAAACGGTTTAAACTCATCTTTACAGACAATTTCTTCTTTAATTCGAGCTTGTTTAAAAGCCAAAAGCCAGTTACTAAACATGCCCTATAAGAAAAGTTCGTACCTATAATAACAAAATTAGCATGTTACCCAAATAAACCACTTATCTATTATTCAAATATCATTTTATCTAATCTTACACATTTTAAAAGTTTAAAACTACTTTTGCCAAATATTTTTATACAAAAAAAAAAAAAAAAAAAACTTCCAACTTGTTTTTGCTAAACATGCCCTAAATATACTATTAGCATGTTGAAGTGGGATGCTTGCACATTACGTTAAGATGACTTCAAGTAGTATTTTGTGTGTGTGTGTGTAAATTACGTGTCAACATGAGGTTTCAATATCGTTTATTATTTTTACTAAAAACTAAAATAAGTATTGATTAATGAAAGCATGTTTTGACGACTACACATGATAAATGTTGATTTTATGTAATTTGAATGTCATGCGTAATCATCCACTTGTTTTACATGATTTTGAGATTAACATGTTTTTGTTACACAACCATATTATTATGGTACATTAGACTTATCGTTTTTTTAGTGTTTCCCATGATCAACTTTATGAGTTTATCATGAATTAGTAGAGGAAAAGAGAAGATGATCATCTAGCTCACTGTTAATAACATCCGAACAAGATTGTTTTTAGTGATCATCTTTTGGAAGATAGCTTTACTAAGAACTTTTATGTACTAGCATCTAGTGTTTATATTTTGTAGTGTATATATTAAGAAGTTTCGAGCATCCATTAAATACAATAAGCGTAACATTCTACATAAATTTGATGATGGTTTATGAACAAAAACGACAATTTCTGTGTTTTGAGTGAGAATTTGATCATGTTCGATATGAACATAGTCGAAATCTTCATTCTTGATCTCACTTTCAATGTCAAGGGCATAATAGTAATTTACAAAGTCAATTATTAGAGATTTGGAGCTACAAAATATCAATAACGAATATAATTATTAAATGCTTAAATGGAACCTTAACAAATCACTAAGTTCTTTCCAAAAACCGAATCTTATCAAAGTGTCAAATTTATTGAATTTTAATCATTTTTTATTTGATATACAAGTTTGGGGAGCAACCGTTTTCAAAATTTTAGTGGTCCAAATAAAGCTTTTAGCCATTTTCACATATTCCATAGACAAAGAGTATTTTTTTTGGACCAAAAGTAAGTCATAATTGATACAACAAGTACACTTCAAGCATCTACATCTCACTAATGATTTGGATACATATAAACATTGCAACAAAAGTTAAACAATCTCCTCCTACCACTCAAATACTACTTTTTAAATAATCTTAAATTCTTCATCAATATTTTATTACACATATTTATTTACACATGACAATACATAGTTTTTAACATTTTGACCTTTGACCAAACAAAAAATTACAATTTCTCATCTCATCCAAAATTGATGTCTAAAACGTATGATTTATAGATTTAACTTGTATAAATAATTAGAAAAACATTCAAATGGTCTATAAAAAGTTAGATGGACCTACTAACCTAACATTATATTGACAACGTATTTCTTTAAATTTATTACTTAATTCACCAACATAAGTAGGTGACTAAATCTACTAACTACCCACCTCCCTTCTCTACTCCTACATTATCTACAAGCAACCTACAATACTCGATAATGTATTAAACTTGTAAAATAAATATTTAAATTATATATATAACATTTGGCTTTTGGTTTAAGGGAATTGCAATAGGGAAGAGTGAAAGATTGAAATGGTGACTACAAGAATGCAATTTTATTCCTTTATTTCTTCTATCAAAGAAACTTATGACTACAAAAAGAGAACTGATTTGCCAACAACTGTTTTATGTTCATACTCCTAATGAATTTAAGTGAAATAAACACGTGTCATCACCTGGTTTGTAACCTTTGATCCTTGCTCCACTTGTATAAGAACTTGCATTCCTTGTGTAAATCCGATAGGATTGAAATTGAATCTCAATGAATCATGGAAGCAAGGTCATTTTGTCACTTGCTTATATGGTGTGTTTATGTATATATCGTGTTTTCTTCAAGTTCAATCCATTGTGAAAATGTTGCATAGACAGAAGCTGACATTCGAGACTAGTTTGCAGAATCTACACTATACAAAGAAAACCGAAAAAGGAAGCACACGAGATTTTTGTTTTTTTTGTTTTTTTTTTTTGACTTCCTGAAGAACAAGTGTAGATGCAAGAAATGGAAATACCCATAACTTGATTGAGAAATTGTGCCACTTCCAATCATCTTTAAGTTTCAAATTTCATAAAAGTGTCATCAAATGTTCTTGATGCTTGCTTTTCTGGATTCCCAGCTTTCTTGATAGAGTCTGCATAGCATATCAAGAACAAAAAAAGATTAATTTTTTCATCACCATTGCTGATCCCCAAAATTCTTATGAACACCAATTACATTGATATCAGAATGAAACAGTTAGTCTATTGAGCTGACTAGCAGAAGCCCAATAACAGAAGGTGAGATTAAGAAGAAATTGACACATTAAGAAGTTAAAGATGATTGGATTGGATTGGAATATTAAATTACCTTGGATACAGTTTGAACGATGAGCTCATTTGAAGAAGCCAAACATTCCCTTGGTGTTTCAAACGAAGATAGAGAAAATTGCTTAGAAACAACACCGACATCGAAGTAAATCAATCCGGAACTGGGTATATCGACCCGGATTTCCTTAACAGGAAACCACAAAAACAAATCCTGGGCGGAAATACCCGACAATCCATCGATCTGACCATACGTCAAGGTACCGGAAACATTCTGATCGTAGTGCAATTCGTCCTCAAACTTAGCATTACAAGCTTGATCCAAATGCACTTCGAATCGACCGGAATCATCAATGGTGAAATTGGTGACACCTTTGGGTAACAAACCCATGGGCAATCCGTTTGATTTAAGAACTTCGTATATGGTTTTAGTTTCTTCGGAGGTTGAAATGCAGAAAACGGTGGCAATTGTGAGCAGAAAAACAATTGGGGATAGAAGTGGTTGAAGATTAAACATGTTTTGTGGTTGAATTTTTAGGGCATATGAAGTTCGATGGTGATGATGATGATATAATATAACACCTGGAATTGCTAGGTGTTTGGATGTTTTTGTGTAGGGTTTAAGGGAATCGGAGATATAGAGATAGAAATAGATGGAGAAGAGAGTGTTGTTGCCAGCAAGAATACAGAGGGGATTAGGAGAATGATGAATTATTGATGCTTGTATTCTAGGGCTTTGTTTGGGTCATCCATAACCAATCGGGTAGATCCATGTGGACGTTTGTACCCAAACTTAATATATATTCATATTTATATGTATATATAAACTATGAAATCTCAATAACATCATTTTTAGCAATAGCTATTGTTTGCCTTTTATGATTTTTATTTATCTATTTGAAAAAGATGTTATATATATATATATATATATATATATATATATATATATATATATATATATATATATATATATATTATATTTGAATGAAAATAATATGATAAAAGATATCTTAAACTTTTTTTTTAAGTAAACAAATTAAAAACAAAAAATAAAAATTAAATGGTTAATATAGTTCAACAATATCAATATATTGGAAATGCTTAATTCTTAAAATGGTAAGCATTCAAGTCTAGCAATGGATAAAAGATATAGATTTATGAGTATAAATTAGTGGGTGTCTGATTTAGACGTTTAAAAAATAATAAAAATATTTACTTTAATATTTTAATAATTTTTCTTATACTATGAAATTGTTCTTTATATTTTTGCTAAATTTTTTTATATTATTTATCAAAAATATATTTTTTTTGTAAATATTTTTGTTGTTGCAATGATATTCAAAAAATCATTTCAGAACAAAAAAAAAAAAAAAAAAAAAAAAAAAAAAAAAAAAAAAAAAAAAATTCTTATGGTGAACAATGAAGTGTTATTTTGAAACATTGAGAAGGTATGGAGACATTTTCCAAAAAAAGAATTATATAAAAATATAAAAAATATATAAAAAAAACTTAAATAAAGAAGAACCAAATTTGTAGTGGTATTTGTAAAATTTATGACTATTTTAAGACATTAAAAATTATTTAGTTATTTTATGGCAAATTATAAGCATAAGCGATTAGATTTAAGCTAAAAAGGTGACATTTTTAATACGCATTAGATTACAGTACAAAATGTTTGATACATTTTTTTATTAGATTATATAATTGTAGGCAAAATATATATTTTAAGTATTCGGTATTATCTATTTTCTCTAAAAACAAACAAAAGGGTTGACCAAGAGGTCAAAGTATCATTACTCCATTAGCTTAAGTAATACTCCATTAAACAAAAAAGTATGCAATTAGCTTTTTGTTTACACTTCGGACTCTTTCACTCAACACTAATACCCTATGTTGAGAGAAATTGTTAGACATCATTCAATACCAAACATTAGTGGTCACATGTTACAAACTAGGAAATTATAGTGTCAAAAATAGTTATTATTGTGTTTCAATCATCATAATTTAATACAATGATTGCTTATGTGCTTAATAATATTCTCTTTCTCTCATGTCATATAAAATTACTTGTTGATCTAAAAGACAACTAACATAATGGAATAGATTGCATTTTCTATTTCTCATTATTAAATAACTATTCAACTTACTTTAGAAAAACTATAACTTTTGATTTAATACAAAATAATATTAAATAATATAAGAAAGTGTGGTTTTAGATATCTGAAATATCACGATATACAATTATCGTCGATTAGGCATGGCATTATGCTAACATGCACCAAATAATCCAATTTACAGAAATATCTTCGTCTCAAATTTTCCATTCATGTGTTTAATAAAATTCGGTTTTTCATCAGTAATCATTGTATCTTGTTAATTACTTCTTAATCTAACATATTTTATTTATTCTAATTTAAAATCTCTATTAATATTAATAATTAATCAAAAAATTCATATTTATCCAATGTTCTAAATTTATAGCAGGAGCAACTGTGGGGTATGCATCCGGTTTTCATGGCAATCCATGTGGATTTGATCGTATGTTTTTTCACGCGCCAGGGAAGGAGCGTGTGATTTAGGAAGTGATCAAAACATCTATTGACTTGACACATGGCCCAATCATCTTATTTTAAGCCTTTTTAAAATATATAATTAAATAATTGTGTGGGAATAAGTCAAAAACAGGGGGAAAAATCATGTGCATCCGAGAGGGTAGGGCTGGCATTATGATAATTATTAAATAATTTTGTCTTTGCATGCTGGACCACACGTCACTCCATGATGCCAGTTTTGTTATGGTGATGTGGAGCCTTATGTACAGCTCTCTTGCCACGTCGTACTTGTACTCTTACATGGTATGTACGGGTAAGAGATTAGGATTAGTACACTAAACGAATAAGAGTATCTAAAAGATAGTTTTTGAGCTTAAACTATAGTAGAGTTTTTTAAGTTTGTCTGTATAGATAAATATAAAGTTGTTTATTTATAACTCGGTGAAACTATTTATCAGGTTGTTGATGACATTATTTTGTTAATTTAAGTGTTTTTTATAGCTGTTTATTAAATTAATTATTTGTAATTAGTTATTTATGTTTTTATATATATCGTATGTTTAACGTATTTGTTGAAAAATTAACGTTTACCAGAAAATTGTTATATGAAAAGTTTGTCGATAGGTGATAAAAATAATATTTCATGAAAATTTTAGTACTCTGCTAACTAACCAAGTGATTAACACTACTCTAACATCCGTTGTGGTGATATTTGTGTTGTTCGTTATGTTATGTGTAATATATTGTGATTTATATGATTGATTATCAATCGAGAGATTGATGAGTATTGAAAAATAAATCATTATTGAGAGATTGATTATCTTGAGAGATTGATACTTGATTGATAGATCAATTATGATTGAGAGATATAACACATTTGATAGATTGATTATGATAGAGAGATTGATCTTAATTGAGAGAAAGATTATTAATTTAGTTATTGATCACCGTCGAGAGATTGATTATTAATAAGATAGATACTTAATGAGATAGATCATTCATGAGATAAAAAGGATGTCAACGGGGGCAAACGGGACGGGGATTGCATCCCCCTCCCCCGCCCCCAAAATCTTCCCGTTCCTCCGCACCTGCCCCCTCCCCCACCCCCGAATTCCCTTTCTGATCCCGCCCTCGCTCCCGTTCTCCCGCCCCCAATTGATTTTGGGCTATCTTATTTGGGCTAAAATAAGTTTTTGTTTAGGCTAAAAGAAACTAGTTTTTCGGTAACAAATATATATTTATAACATAATTTTATATGTTACAAACAACTTAAAAACATGTTTGTTGTTGAATTTTTATACGTAAAAATCATTTTATTGTTTATTATATTTATATAATTAATATATATCAATTTATATAATTTATTAACGGGGCCCCCACGAGGGTTTCGGAAGGGGACTACCAACCCTCGTCCCCGCCCCCGATTTTTTTCAATAAATGCCCCCACACGGGATGGGCCCCCCACGGGATCGGGGTCCCACGAGACTTTTTGACATCCCTAGATAGATTCTAGATAAGACAGATGATTGAGAGATAGATCATCGATGAGAATTAGATTATCAATTGAGAGATATATTATGATTGAGTGGAAGATCATTACTGCGATGTTGGTTATGAGAATACCATGAATTTATATAAATTATTTGTTTTATATATATATATATATATATATATATATATATATATATATATATATATATATATATATATATATATATATATATATTTCAAAACAACCCGATTTCATTAAATTATTACAAAAATGTTTTCAATACAAGTCATTTAGAGTATTCCCAGAATCACATTACTACAAAATCATGAGGAGCGGTACGATCACGCCTTCGCCTTGCCACAGTCTCCTGAAGAACCTGAAAAACATTAAACCACAACTGTAAGCCCGAAAGCTTAGTGAGATACCCCCAAAATACCAACCACATATACCATACACACATCATGCTATCTCATAACGAATCATAGAACATCCATGCATATCGGGTCTACTGTGGGACTGGTCCGCCTTGTCGGGCCTTCAGTCCACCTGGTCCACCCTCTGTGTCCAATCATGTCCCTCGAGTCTGCAGTGTGGTTGGTCTGCCCGCACTGGGCCTTCAACTCACCTGGTCCACTCTCTGAGTCTACAGTATGACTGGTTCGCCCGCATCGGGCCTTCAGTCGGCCTGGTCCACTCTCCGAGCCTCGACACGTCTGGTCCGCCCTCGTGGGGCCTACAGCCTATCCGGACCGCTCACTGGGCCTTCGGAATAACCGGTCCTCCCTGGGTATCTTGGCCTACAGCACGAAGCAGGACCCGCCTCAACCCAACTCCAGTCCAAACAACCATGTGCACATAAACAAACAATCACATAACAATTCATATTCAGGCAACCGATCTAGCAGATCACATGTCACAACATACTCTAACAGGATACCGACCTAACCGGTCACTAGCATAGCCTCACCCTACATACCAGGATACCGACCTTAACCAGGTCTCTAACGAATACCATCCTAACTACCAGGATGCAAACATATCAAAGCAATAACATAACAACAGATACCTGGATCTCAATCCGATAAAAGGGTCGGCCTTGGTGCCTTAGACCCTGTTGATATAGTGAGGATAACTCACTTCGAAACTGCCGGCTGAAAGGATAAGATCCCGCTACTCCAAACTCCGACACGAACTCCTCCACTGAACACTAAAACACTCAACTCAATAAATACCCTTAATTACCAAAATACCCCTGGAAGACAATTGGACAACCCTTGGTCAAAGTTAAAGTCAAAGTCTGCCCTTGACTGACTCTACTCGCCGAGTCAACCCAATGACTCGTCGAGTCCTCATACACAGAACCTCCTTTACTTCGCGACCCAACTCGCCGAGTCACCCCGAGACTCGCCGAGTCCAACAACTATGAGTCCACTCGCACCCAACTCACCGAGTCATTCCTTGACTCACCGATTCTCGACTCAACCAGAAAATATTGGGACTCTTTGACAAGACTCGCCGAGTCTAAGGCTATCTTCAACCTACTCGCCGAGTTGTTCATCCAACTCGTCGAGTTCCAGCTCATCTTCAAGCAACTCGTCGAGTCCACCCATGTGACTCGCCGAGTACCACCGGTATGAATCCATAAAGAAGCATTCCAGGCCATGCAATTGATCCAAACCATAGATCTACTTCTCCTAAGGCCATCCATCACGTAAAGTGGCGATCTTTATGTGAATCCAAGAAGATCTAGGCATTTTTACTCTAGGGTTTGGGGTTTGGGACAAGCTAACTCCATCAACAACACAAGAACAGGGACTTTAATGC